GCCTATAAGGATGGATAGCATAATTAACCAAACTTTTTTTATTCTGTTAATCAGATTCTTAAATTTGGAGATTGTATCTTGATCACGTAAAGCAGAACAAAAGTCAGGGTACTGTAGTGCACCAGTCATTTAGGGCTCTCCTCTAACTTAATTAAGAAATATTCTCAATCTTGCAGCATAGAAAGTTCTTCTTGAAGAAGTGGAAGTTTTCCTCTTAAAGACATCACTGAGTGGGTCACCTTTGAAGTCGAGGTTCATTTAAACTATCTTTTTGGGAAGAATAGCATCTCTTGTTTTCGGATTTTCTGTTTGATGTTTTTGTCTATGAATCTTGGTGGATATCCGTTTTGTATTAAAAGATTTCTTTCAGGAAGTGTAATTCTTCTTCCGGGGTATCAGAGCTGCAGATACGTCGGACGTAAGTGGCAAGAGATCTAGTTAGGTTTCTTTTTCGATTGATTGTTCTCAAGCTGTAGAAGCTTGTCGTACACCGTCGAGGAAACCCCAGTAGAGAAACACCGTACTATCCAAAAATCATATAGAAAGAAATCTGCATTAGCATTTTAGTCAAGAGTAGACTGTCAATATGAGGCCAATACAGGTGAAAGGGATGATGAAGCAGAAAGAGAACCAGGCAGAGATGAACAACAAAAGGAGTTGCTGAGTTCAGTCCACAGTGTACTCAGAAAATACACATTAATAGCATTAATAATAATACATAACAATGAAAACCGAACTAACTAACGTTCCAATTGCCACCGAATCCACTCATCATGTTTCTTCAAGTAGAACCACTAATTTTTCGTAGCTGGCTGTTGGGAGCACTTGACGCAAAGTGTATCAGTACACTTACATTTTTGTTGACGATTTATACAGGTAAAAATATACGAAATATGTGCCATAAAATAAATAATTACAAAGTTACTTTTCTCCGATTGTTTCACTTACGACAAGTCCATAACGATCAATATTTTAAATTCTATGTACTCATACTACTTAAGTGAATTACTGGTAGTAGTGTTAACAAATGACGGATTTTATTTGGAAACTGATTTATTTACTCACTGGTCTAATCTAATTACCCTGATATCATCAAATATGATTTTCATAAATGCTTATTTATCAGTCACTTCAAAGGAGAACTCGTGTTTTCGCTGACTGTTTACTTTACTGGCTTATAGCTATATCAAGATGTATCACTATCAGATTTTGAAAATAAACTTAGGACTTCGATTCCTAAATGTTTGTCGCTTCATCAGATCAATAAAGCAGTGGATATTGATAAATACGCGCCAAATGTAGTCATCATTACATTCTGCTGGGGTAAAACCATGAAACTACCAGAGTTTTTCAAGAAGACCAGTTGTAGAACACTTTTGTTTGCTAAAGTAGACAATAAAAAAGTATTTTTTATTCGTCACATCTCGAACACAACTATCACTCATATTAGGGGGTGTATAAAAGTCCTTCCACAACTCGCCTTTATAGTTCCATTATTTCGTATCTTATGAAAGGCGAATATACACTGACGAAGTCTTCTCCCTGTAAGCATCTTTTTGAGTTAACTCGTTCAACCCCAAACAATTTGTCCTATAAAGTTATTCGTAGGGTTAAATTCAGTCACTAAAATGTTCACTTTTTCGCCATTTATTTATGGTTCAAGCTTTAGATATACACTGACAAACACCAAAACTATGCATTTGAAAACGTTTTGTTAAACCATTGTTTTATTACTTTGGTCACAGTAATGTTATATTTGTTATTTTCTAATTTTACTTCATTGGCTATGTCCATGCCAATTCCCTTCATCTTCGCTTTCGCTATTAATGTCATCATTATTTTTCACAACAGTTGACCTATTTTAAAATCTTCATACTTATTCAGTTACTCAACAGTCCTCTGATTTTACTGGTAATAATATTTTCTATTTCTCCGCTACTGCTGCTGTACGATTCTGAATGAACGTGTTACGTGTAGATTTGATGGACAGAGAAAGATTCAGTGATACATCTTTGCCTCCACCTAACTATATTACTTTGTAGAACTGAGTTTCTGACCACTCCATTGTCTGACTTTGTTTTAATCTGGATTATATTCATATATTCCAATAAATCAGATTAACAATTAGCAAATTGGTTAGCGATTACAATATGTGTTCTGCTTGATCCCGTAAATGGTTATGAAGAAAACAAGCATATTCGCATAAATTTATTTAATACCGGACGGAACTAACGAGGTTATCAAGGCGAGGATCGGAAAAGCAAGACAAGCTTTCATTACTCTCAAGTCTGTGTGGAGGTCAACAACACTCACCATCAAAAATAAGATCCGGATTTTCAAATCCAATGTGAAGTCACTGCTACTTACTGTACGGATCAGAGACTTGGCGAGTCATAAATAGCACCTCAAACAAACTATAGACCTTCATTAACAGTTGTCTTCGCTCAATACTCAAGATCAGATGGCTGTCCAGAAAAGATCAGCAACACGCATCTCTGGGAACGAACGAACCCAGCAGTAACTGATTATGCAACAAATAGGCAGGAGGAAATGGAGATTGACATCACTAGACAAGCCATTGCTCGAGTGGAACCCGAAAGGGAAGCGGGTGACGAGTTGGTCGTCAGTGCGAGGGTGATTTTTAGGAGGTGATGTGAGGAGGAGATGAAGACATGTGGGCAGACTTGGAGCGGAGTGAAAAAGTTGGCAGAAAACAGAAGGCAATGGAGACGCGTAGCTGAAGCCCTATGTTCCTCTAGGAATTAAAGGAAATAATAATCATAATAATGTGTTACCAGCCCACTTAAGTAGGTAGCCAGAAATCGGGTAGACTGAACTGGTTCAGCTGTCCTGCTGATTCAGATCAGATACCATGCTAAACAGAAGGGAGAAACGGCCGTCTGGTATTTTGATTCCCTCAGTCTGGCTAGCAACCTCTGTTAGTTGATGTGACTGGTACACGAATACTTATTTCAACCAATGAGTTGGATGTTGTTTTATGCATAAATTCATAGAGATCTTTATTTGCCTAAATTCTTGGTAAGGTTTGAGTGAGGTTGGCACTCAAAAATAGAATTTCAATCAGGAACAACCTATGCAAGCTAAAAGATAATAAATTAATCCACAAAATACCTTGCAACAATTTTGGGGTCAACTATATAGACCAATCCAGTCAAGTGTTCAGAACACAGGAATTAGGGTAACTGTAAAAATGACTAACTCAAGAAAAATGACCAGCCTTGTAAAAAAATCTCACCAACCGTAATGTATGCACTTTCACATAGGCACATAATACAGTGGAACAGAGCTTGAGATCTAGGAAGCCGTATAGTTAGGTGAATGGAAACGTTAATCACTGAATCTGAGTTCATCCGAACTACACTAAACCCAGTGAAATAGGAATGCAGTGAAATTTTTGCCAGAGATATATGGAGTACCGTATTACCAACATGGTCATAGTGCACGAAATAATGAAACTATATTCATATGCATATGATGCCTCTAAGATATTATGTGAGCATTTCGATAACGGAAATAATTTGTCTTCAGAACATCACTAGTAAATAAACAGTACTGTATTACTATACAATTGGTGGATGGTGGCTAGCAGTGGAATCCAGGGTGCGAATTTCGTCCTATTTGGGACTCGTCAGCTGGATGTACCTGCATTTCTCAGTGAGTGATGATGTTCCCACCGAGGCTCGAACCCAGTGCCCATAGTTTCAAACGCCAGAGCGTTATCCACTAGACCACTTGGGCCACGAGAGCCACCTCTTGTGCAACGGGTCATATTAATTATTGAATTGAATTCTTGATTTTCCCGTCGATTGATTGGACCGAAGTGTTCGGTCTCAGGTTGACATGTCGTCTTCTTGTGCAGATGCTTTGACGATGTCTGGGGATTTGATTTGTATACAATTGGTGGATGGTGGCTAGCAGTGGAATCCAGGATGCGCATTTCGTCCTATTTGGGACTCGTCAGCTGGATGTACCTGCATTTCCCAGTGAGTGATGATGTTCCCACCTAGGCTCGAACCCAGCACCCATAGTTTCGAACGCCAGAGCGTTATCCACTAGACCACTTGAGCTAAGAGAGCCACCTCTTGTGCAACGGGTCATATTAATTATTGAATTGAATTTTTGATTTTCCCATCGATTGATTGGACCGAAGTGCTCGGTCTCAGGTCCAGCACTTCTGTCCAATCAATCGACGGGAAAATCAAAAATTCAATTCAGTACTATATTACTGTGAATTCTATCAGGTGAAGTTACTCTGTGATGGAATTATTTCTCAACACGGTGCCAAAATTCTTATCTCGAATCAATGCTGTTTTGAACATTTTCTTCCTGAACTTAAGGTAACATCCGAATCCGCAATCACGATGATGTTTTTGTGTGATATTTAAATTTATAATGCCACTATGTGTAGTGACATCGACGTTGTTGCGGGTCAACTGGCTTAATGTATTTATTCTGCAAGTAGAGATCTGGTATTGATTATTGCTGTTATAACTACCAGCAGGAAAGGCAGCTAAACTCTTCAGAATATCAGAAAGAATGAATGCTCTTGTTTACCATGATCCGTGGCATCCACTAATTGAGGCAAAATTTACCTATTTTTGAGCTTTACTGTTTCTTAACCCAATCAGACAGGTGTATTTTTGCAGCGAGTGACTGAGCTACCACTTTCCTGTTTACGTTGCTTTATCACGTTGAAGATTACAAAGTCAAAATAGGTGACTGTAAGTGAGATGGTGTTTTTTTTGTAAGTTGTGGAATTCTGCGTGCACCAGATAAAACTGGCTATTAAGTTTGACAAATGATTCTTGCAAATCAATGGACTGTTTTGCCTCATTAATGAAAAACCATGTGATCAAGACAATTCAAACTTTGGCTTTACATTTTTTTATTTTCTTCGTATATATATATATATATATATATATATTAAATGACAGTTGTGGAAAGAAATTAATAACCTGTTCGAATAAATTGTCTGTTTTAAAATAAGTTCGCGCTATTAATTATCGATTTTACAATTGTTTTCTTATCGCTGTAGTCTATGCATCTTTGAGACAATGAAAAGTCAACTAAGATACTTTATCATCTTTCGATTGGTTTTCACGTTTGCTATATCGCATTCTTAATTACTTTAAATACAATGTTTACTTTACAAAAAGTTATCCTTGTCAAACTATTATACTATTTTGCTTCCATAGTTAATAGTAAAACTAATGCAAATCCCCGTTTAACGTTATTTAAGCGATTTATTCATTTTAGTAGATAGAAACATATCAAAATTAGATTTTAGATGTGTAAGTTAAATCATGCTGGCTTAGAAAATATTAAGCCAAAATAAACAGTTTGTTTTTGACCACACACAGCTTGTTGTTCATCCTAAAAGCAATAATTCTTACAGTTCTTAAGAATTCAGCTTACTTTTGAAACACATAAACTAGGGTGAAAAAAATCTCAATGGTGGAGAATCTCTTCACATGCATGTAACTACATCGATTCTGCTGCTTTCAAGAAAATTAAGTGATCATTAATGACAACATAAGAAAAATTATTCTTCAAGCATTGACAATCATAGAAGCATCTAAAAACCGGCATTAGTTACAATAATTTCGGCGTTGTTATAACACAATAAATCTTAAGGTATGTTTATGAAACCCATAATTATCATTTCAAAATGTTTAGTACAATGATTTAAAACGAAGTAGTATACATTATGCAAAGTTTAGTGATAATGTTGTAAAATGCAAGGGTTGAAAGTTTTTCACTCTTGAGGGACATGGTTTAAGACATAAACGATTGACATTTGCAAAAAAATTCTCTTCCTATAAGACAACAAAAAACAATTATTATTCACAAAATTTTACTCCTCTGTCTGATTGTTTAAATGTTTTATGGAACTCTGTGAAATGATAATCTAACTCTCTACAGTGTCGAATAGAGAGTTGATTGGGATTGGGACTTCTAGTTTCAGAGTTTATAGCAGATTGATACGGTTTAAGTTCAATAGATTGATTTTGATTGTTTTAAAAACTGGCTGGGCTAATAAATATATTAAAAAGGTGTATAATCAGGATTTTTAGTATTTCACTGGTATACAGTGCATGCCCGTAATCAGAAGCTATCCATACTCATTTACAACTGCAGGATAAATACACCCATATATTATAGGACTCTTTAAAATATTATTTTAAGATGAAAAAAGAAGACTGAAAAGAACTATACAACTATACAACAACAGGATTTGTACAACGGTAAATAAATTTTATTTAATGTAAACATAATGCATCATCATGTTCAGAAGTTTGTTGTTGCTGTGATCGATTCGTTTTCTAAAAGACGACTATTTTTATTCAAAAGAGGTGGTTTCGTCTTTTTGAAACAACAAAAACGATCACGAAAGTGTATACACTCTTCTCGAGCAATTTTACGGAATAAAGGATTTGACGCCATATAAACAAATGCATTCAATGTTGAATCTAAATAGATCAATAAATTCGCAATCACCGATACTGTCATATCAACTAATGGATAGTCTTTTTCTAAGTATGGATTTAGTATTTTACTAAAAAATGCCGGTGTTTCTAATACAAAGAATGTAATGCATACAGCGAACATTAATTTGTCACCAGATGGTGCTGGTCTTTCATTTAACTCTAGTGTTAGACCATTAGAATTACGCTGTTGTAAATTATGATTATCATTAGTTTTACTGTGTATAGAAGTATTAGGATTTGCTTGACTAGCCTCCGTTTCAATTGTTTGACGTCTTAATAAATTTCTTGCTGACCGTTTTTCTTTTTCTCGATGAAATTTTCTGCGTTTCGCTATAACTCTTATAACAAAAGCGCTTAAAACACAAACACAGATTACTGGTCCACCAGATTGTACAATGAACATAATTATTCCTAAGTACAAGATTTGATAAATTTTATAACTAAGCAGTAGAGGAATTTCTCTTGAAACAATCCCTGACATATAGCAAACAACTACACTGGATTCAAATATTCTTGGTATGATAATTAAACAGGCTAGCGTAAATACAGCCCATAATATGTAACGCATACGTTCACGTGGAAATGAACTTGGTGTACCAAGTGGTCGACAGATTTGATCATAACGATAGGCTGCAAGTAAAACAACTGACCAGTTTCGTGATATTTGAAATACTGCTAAAATTCGACTACATACTGTTGTAATAAAAAAGATGCATATTGTTGTCACATAGTCATTTTTATGTTCTTCTATGTAATTTTCATTAAATTGTTTTTGTAACTTGTTTTGTCCATCATTTTTTGAAATCATATTCATGACTACATTCTCCTTACTTATGTTTATGATTGAAGTTACCGCATTGATAAATAAGCTGAATCCCATTCCAAATTCAATGATTGAAAGACCTTTCAATATTTTGCTCATAACTGATTTCTTCCATGCACTATGATTAAAGATGTAGATACATAATCCATTCAGTATAGTGTTTAATGGGCCTAGTATTAGCACCATAGTCCAATAGGCTCTGACAATATCAAGGACGGGTTGTGATTCCATCTTTTTGCATGCCGAACTTTTATTAAGTATGAACAAATTTAGAACAAACGGGGTCAGTACTTCTTGATTATGTTGACTGACATTCATTTTAGTACAGTTAGTTCAGTGGCTTCTAGGACGAATTTACTCTGCAAGATTATGTACAAGGAAATGATGTTGCCTCAGGAAAGATATTCATATCATAGCCAAATGTGATTTTGTTTTCAGTAATCCGAGTACCTAAAAATAAAAGAGTATGGTCAACGTTAAACATATTTGAATATGAAAAAACTGTTGATGCAAAAAACTCATATTGCAGAACATTTTAGTCGACCGTAGATTATAATGTTACATCACTGCATTTTCTTTTTCCCTTTATCCTGTTTCTTCATTGGAGGAAAAATCACACTATGACACCTCAGCTTTTGACGTTCATTATAGAGTTCAATTACGGTTGTTTAGAATGAGAATGACATATATTTCCACCTTTCAAAACCTTTAACATTATCATTCTGCCTCGTGATAATCTAATTATTTTAGTTCAGTAAAATTAAGAAACCGAATTACATTCTTTTTAAGGTGATTTAATTTCTAGAACCAGTCAACGAAAGCTTTTTTTCTAACAGCAATTAAGATTGTACATAAACTCCTACTGCTCTGAATTTTGTTTGTCACTAACTCTTGTAAATTTAACAGAATGAATAGGTTTATGGAGTTTAACGAAAACCTTTAGAATGACCTCCATGAAACTTCAGGTAGGTAATCGTCAGAATCAATGGTTGATTATGATGTTTTTTTTCTCATGCAGTCGTTTTCCTTGAGTATAAGAAAAATATCAGCAAAAAATAAGGTTTCATTAGCTGTCTATTTATTCTTTAGATGCGGAATAAATGTATATTTTACTAGAAGTCATATTGCTGATTTAACGGCTTTTCCTCCACAAAATTGCATATTGGTGGTAGAAAGACGAAAACCTATGCATTACAAAATGTTTTACTAATGTATTAGAGATCTGTAGTTCAGAATAAACATATTTTGTTGTTCAGAAAACTTAAAAAAAGGAAGGGAGAAAATAACTCGTAGCAAACATATTTCTACTGGAGGAAAGTAAACAGAAATTTTGTAAAATTCATTGGAACACTACTTTTGGTAAATAATCTTAATCCGTAAGAAAGAAACTATATTTTTTATTCCAAGCCATGCGCAAACCAATATATCCAAAAGATGTTTTCACAAGCTTTATTTCTGTGTTTAAATATCAGTCCAAGGTTTTGTGCAATTTTACAGAATTTGTTGGCCATGTTTACAGGTGAGTTGAATTCGACTCCCAGAAGACAAAATCAGTTCACTTACTGCTGTGGAGTCACGTTCATCGGTCGTTCGACGTGCACCCTATATGTCATGGTTGCGAAAACGCAATAGTGGTGCAGTGAAGAGTGTGACAACTGAACACCTAGTTAACACTGATCATTTCATTTCAACAAACGCCTTCTTCAAAGCAATCTACACAGTCAAGAATAACCTGTCAAAGGCAATACGGTCTCGTTTTCTTTTTATCGCTGAAGCTCTGGCCATTCACATAGAGAAACTGGGGCTGTGCATACAAAAGGGAATTATCCAACCACTTCTACTGTCATGGAAACAACTTGGCTGATTTTTGATCTTGTTTGTTCGCCTGTTTCTTTAACTGCTTGTAATTCTTGTAATCATTTGGAATTCTGATGTAATTTCGTATAATCTACTTTGTTCCTATGTGTATCCTGAGTACAACTCAATCATCAAACCATTCATATTATTACATGACTTCTTTTTAAGAACTGTTTGTGACAACTCATCACGTTTGTTACTACACTAGTTTCATTAACACCCGATTTTCTTGACCATTTTCATGTTACGTAACCCTACTCAAAACTTACTAATTTTCACCTGTTTAGTATAAATAAACATAACCAGTTGTATTTTTGTTTGACAAACTTAATATTCACATGCGTACAAAACAACGCACATATATTTGAGATTGTACGGCCGTGGAAATGAATTCGCTTAAAAGAGACTCTTCGCTAAACTACGTGTTTTGTTTTCATTAAACTCGATATCATCTATGAAGAACCACTCCTAAAAGTGTACTTAGTTTACACTTAAGTAACGAAAAATCTGAATAAGGTTGATCATAGTGAGTCGGTTACACAGCGGTAGAATGCTCACCAACAAGTCATGTGGTCCGGGGTTCAATCCTCTCTCCTTTACGTCGCTGAGCCAGTAATAAAGCTGGTAAAGAGGGAAGGTTGGGCATGAGGCTAGCAGCCTCATCCCATCAAAGTAAACATCACTGATATTGAAACTTCAAGCCTTTAGCTTGAAGCTCTATGTTCCAGTGGGAAGGTAAAGGGAAAAAAGGTTGAACATAATTAAATGAAATCGAGGAAGTTATTCCAGAAAGGATCTAAGAGCCAGCTGAATAAACGAAATACATTTGAGAAAAATTATGTAGCACAGACAAAAAATGCTTCAGGTTATTAGTATTAATTTACAAAAATGAATTTTACTAACCTGAAATGCACAACATGTGCTTCTATGAATTATGATGAAATGAATAATGAATAAGTCATAACATATCTGTAGGTTCAGAGTTAGAGCTAGTGAAATAGTAAACCCTTGAAATAGGTACTAATTCAATAGATCGGATAATGAATTATCCTGATATTAACAGAACAGCTGATTTATGTGAGTCATTTATCGTAAAAAGCTACAATATTATCTTGTGTACGCTATACAGCAGTTTATAAAGTAGACTTTCACCGCCGGTATTATTAATTATTCATTTGCGGCCAAATAAAAGCACCTAGGAGTACAGAATAACGATGTTGTCAATTTTTTTAAACGATTATACAAATTACAAACCACATACCTGGGCCTTCTTAGTATAACTACTTATACCTTTTTATAAATTGCCTTCATTTGATACATTTATATTTTCTACACCATTGAAACTACACCTTAGTTTGTATTTTATAGATATATGCTGTTCAGGTACAATGAATACGAAGTTTACTGGTATTCAGATTTTGTCAGTGTGGAGATTTTATCACAAATTTTAGTCAACTAAAGATCTTCAGATATTTAAATATAGCGTCAAATACCTATTTCCTCTTGATGGGGGTATTATTATCAACCGGCAGCTGTAGTGTCGTACAGAATGGAAACCAGAGTTGTCACATCTTCAGGTAAGTTATAATTTAGAACAACACATTTAAGCGAAGAATATTGTTTTCAATCAGATCTCATCAGGTTTAACTCTAATACATATAATTTTACAGATAAAATACAAATATAAACCAGTTGTGGTGTTTTGCCTATAGGATAATAACATGGTGAATATAAATTGTGCAATTAGTTATAATAGTAGTAATGATAATAGTAATGACAATAGTGCTTTTATCAATAATAAGGATGATAAAGTGAGGCAATCTCTGATAACAAGAATGATGAAAAGACAGCATGGTTAAACAAATAAATGCTTAAGCGGAAGTAGTCGATAGAGGCTAGTAAAAAACAAATGAACCGATTAAGTAATGCTAGAGTGTAAGGAAAGTAAATGAGACACGTCTTTAATGAAGATGTGATAAGATTAAGGGATGCAAAAATATAAACAAGGGGTGGTGTAGAAGTCATTAGTCGGTTATGTCTTAATAGGCCAAGGGAGGGATAATGGCTGTATGAACTTCTTTTGAATGAATAGTTTAGGTCTAATAGTTCAAATGCCTATCACCCCAGCTGGATGCAGTAGACGAATACGAAGTCTATTTGAAAGATTCGGTGGGATACGATGAATTACTTTGAAAGCTTTCATTTTCTCCACTACATGACCACTATTAATATTATTACTATTATCATTACCACTATTATAACTAATTGCACAATTTATATTCACCATCTTATTATCCTATAGACAAAACACCATGATTAGTTTTTATTTGTATTTTATGTGTAAAGTTATATATATCAGAGTTAAGCCTGATGAGATCTAATTGAAAACAATATTGTTCACTTAAATGTGTTGTTCTAAGTTATAACTCGCTTGTCACAAGGTATACTGTAATACACGGTGAATAATTAAAGGTAAATGAAAATAGGTGGCGTAACGTCTTACGAGACATTAAATCTCTGGTATTCTAAGTTTATAACAATATGAAATACTTTTGTAGTAAAACATTTGGCTATTCGTTTGAAATGAAAAGACAGTCACTACAACTCAAGATATTTTTCAATCACACATCTCTAGGCTGATTAGCAAGCAATAAATAATTTGAACTGATGTGGCAACTACGAGTAGTTTACAAGAGGTTGTTCTCTGGTAAAAGCATTTATAAAATCATTATTTATTCAGTGAATTTCAAAATAAATGCAGCATTATGACAAAATATGCGGATAAAGTAAATAGAAAGCAAGTACAACTTCTTGCCGGAGGCGGCAAACAATTATTTTGACTCAGAAAAATAATCTCAGCGCCATAAGCAAATGACTACTTCTTCTGTTACCAACCTATTACTTAAAAGTGCTTAAAATACGCACGAAGTGGCCCCCTTTTAAACCTAAAGTTTTCTGTACGGATTCTAAAAATTAAGAGAACCTATGTCTCGAATAACTTTATGAGGTAAACAAACGTAGATAGGTAAAGTTGGTTTGCATTTTTTAAAGGTATTATGTCTTCCAGTTGTATCGTTTTTTCATGTCTTCATGTATAATCTTCTCAGTATGTGACACTCAAGACTGAACAAAAGCTTCTGTGAGTTCTTTAGCGAAATAACTGAATGAGGAATACACTTCATCAGATACAATAAATAGCTATTTTCTATTCCCAACAAACTATAATTTAGTGTTATTTTAAATAAGAACTACAAAAGTGATTCAAATTTCAATCAGTAGTATTCATCTCCATAACGGCAGTGAGGTAAGTCTGTTTCACAGATTAGGACCAGATAGATTTCCATAGTATTGTGTAATGTGGTCAACCACATTTTAGGCTTCTTTAGGTGACACAATGATCGCCAAACTAGTAATGGACAACTTTTCTTTCAAGCTGTGTTTTTTACCCAGCACATCCACTAAAACATATTTAGCACTATAATATTTATTATGTATATATATATACATGCAACACTGTTTAGCGCTCAATGGAAAAAAAAACTATTTCGAATGCAATTGTTACTAATTATTTGGGTTTAGAGTCAAAGATGAGG